TGATAATGTTGAAGTGAAGAAAACTATTTTAGGAGAAATTTGCATATTAACAATGTAATTATTTGCCTGCTTATATTTGAAAGATAAGTGCAGAATAAATTATGAATAAGCTGCACACATATTGGTATAAAACTACTTGTTCTTGTATTTAATGAACTGCTGGATTTTCTTCATGTGACCAAAATCCCTCTGTTTCTGCATTAAGGATAACACATTTTTGTTAATGTAAAATATTTTTCATTTGTGAAAATTATGGATGTAGGTTCAAAGAATTTCAGTTAAAGAGGGGGCTATCAAACTGCAAAGTTGCCATTAGGTAATTTGTTATTATAATTCAATGGTAAAAAAAAGTGAAAGAGCATTTAATAAATAATCAAAAAAGCAAAACATCTGTCTGAACAGAATTTGGGCATTATAAAAATGACTGTTTTTGTGCAAGTGATTGTTCACATTTATAAGATTTTTTTATGACACTACATCATGATTTATTATAATGCTACTATATTTTAAATGAATGATTTCTATTAAGAACCAGTCCTTGAAGTTGTGAAATTATTGCAAGCTTATGAATAGACAGAATCAAACGGAGTCAGCAATTTTCCAATTAAATTGTTGTTTCCATTACTTCCGAGGATCCTTCACTTTCCAGATTGTTATACATAAGACTTGAAATATAATACTTATCTAAGTCCGAGTTAAGAAAGTTATTAATACTCCTTTAGTATTAGTTATTTGTGAAATTAAATTTGATAAATGTCTTTTTTATTTTCATGCCTTTAACAATGTTTTATTAGCCTCTGAAAATCATGTACATTTATTAGTTACAAACATATCTAAGAAGGTTATTTACTCCAGTGATCTGTTTTCTATAACCAGAAATAATACTAAAATTAATTGATGATATTTTGACATGAAGTTTTTGTCCTGTTTCTGTCCTGTTTTTGTTTGGGGTCCGCCTGGGCTCCTTGCCATTGGTTCTTGTTGCTGGGATATATGGGGGTTGCGTTCATTGAACGCCGCCTTTCCTTGTTGATCTTGGTTACCATATTTTGATCAATGTTGATTACTTTCATTATTCAAAGTAGATTTTCTGTTGAATCAATGTAAGTTAATACGTACATGAAATTGACATGTTCTTTAGTGTACATTATCTTTATTCTGATTTGCTTTTAACTTGATCGACTTGTCAAGCTATTGTTTGGTTAGTAACATTTCTCTATGTTACTCATCTTTTATTGGTTTATCTAAATAAGTTCATTCCGGAAACTTGATTTCCATATATCCATGATTGGTTTATCCAAAATTTGCCAACAAATTTCTTTAACAACTCATCACTTCATATATACTTTGTTTTATCTCTGGTACTTTGTTTTATCTCTAAACTATCCTATCTATAATATTCAAATGTCATTATTTAGAGTTAAAAATATGTTGAAAGATAACCTTGGTAAAAGTAAGCCTTGCACATATCTTATTGTAAGCTACATTCATTTACTTTGCATAACACCTGTGAGATGTTGTATGTGATAAAATATAATGTTTATTCTCTTAAATAAATTACACGAAACTTGCATAAAATTCTTGTGATATGTGTAATTCCTTTTTTTTAAATTTGGAAAATGTCGGGCCAGTGACTTTCAAGTTGCTGACAATTGTAACCTTTTTAATGGCAAACACAGTACAGAAGATTTTCAGATTAATGTTAAACTTTTACAGAATGGAATCTTTTGTATAAGTAATGGATATGTTAATTTGAATGAGTGAGCGATTCCATTTTTATATCGAATATAAATTAACTTAAAAACTCTGCTTACATGTATTACCAGTTGATACAAATATTGCAAGTTGATAAAAATATAGCTTACTTAATTCGGTATTATAGTGATATGGATCGTTTTATACCTTTGACAAAAGCATACTGGCGATTCATCAAGGGAACATTTTTCTCTAAACCTGAAACCGTCCCTATCTAGTTGTTTTATCTGGTCTCTTTACTCTCATTGGGCTTGACATGTTGCCCCGGCTTATACTTGTTCTTGTTTTGAAATATTTAAACAAGAAATTGAAAAAAAATGAACACATAGAACATGTTCAAATTATCCATTACATTATGTGACATTAATATCATTGCATATTTGGATGTCTATCATTGCCATATCATGATCGAAGCAATTTGTTTTTGTGTAATTATTAATACCTGTGCTTTTCTTTTTATTCGAAAACTAAATCATGTAGTTTAAAACTATGTTAAAAATCATCTTTTGACTGATTTAAATTCTGGTATATGTTTGTTTGTTATTATATATATGCCATTTTTGACGAGTCATGACAATGCGAGACCGCATATATAAAATAGATGGAAAATTAAACCACCATATGTTCATAAATATGGTTGCTGATTTTCGCCATTCGTGTTTTCGCCCTGCGACACCTCCAAGCGAAAAGTCGAGAATTGACAAGATGAAATGGCGGGGGCGCAGAGCGAAAACATATTATTTAGCAGGGGCGCGGCGATATGTTTAAAAGATAAAACGTCGTCCTGCAGGGGGCGCAGATTTCCAGAAATGGAATGGCGGGGGACGGGGTATTAAGTTTTAATTAAGTTTTATTAAACGTGTTTTCGCTCAGCACCCTTGCTGTGGGTAAAACAGCCACCATACATAAGGCTGTACATTCACGGACTTGATTCATACTTTAACAAATAAATGACCACGACCTATAAATGGAATATACCATCAAGGTCAAATTATTGTATTTTGCGCAAGTTAATAGATTTGCTTCATTCTTAGACAAAAACGTACTTATGACACAACTGATGATTAACTTAAATGTGTTCTTGACCTTTGAACCACATTTGATCATCAAGGTCAAATTATTAAATTTAGCTTTAATAGTCACAACTTTATTATGAATAATGATGGGAAAATGTGAAACATACTGGGACTTAACATCTTTTATTACAACATCAACATGTAGAATAATTTAAGAATACCCATGATCTGTAAATAACCTTGTAAAAAGAGGCTGTTGTTTTGTTTTTTTTTTTTTGTTAAAAATATCATTTTTATTTTATATAAGAAATAATTTTCCTTTAAGAAATCTAGAAATCTCCCTACAATATTTTTTTCCAAATGTGTTTCGAGCATAGTCCCCACCACTTGGCAGTGACTTGCTTTGACAAAAATCAAAGAATTTACAATTATAAGAAATCAGTACTTAAACTACGAGTTTATCTATTACATTAAAAATTAAACAGGCCCCTTTGATAAAATAAAAATTAGCATTAATTTTACACTGTCGTTTTTTAGCACTGAAAACAAATCCAATGTATAATTCCATAGCTGAACAAAAATAGAAAACAATTTTATAACCATTTATGGACACAAATCCATGCAAAAAATGAAAAAAAATCTAATGAAATCTTGTTTTTATATAAAATCTATTAACTGTTAAGTCAGATTGTTTCCATAATGTTGTCTTTGATTCTCGAAACAGTTGAAAGATAGAATACCTCTGCTATTTAAGAAACATGATTATTGCATGTATTTGGTTAACAAATTAAAATGGTCCACGCTGCTATTTTTAGTAGGATTTTGAATGAAAATTTTAATTTGTGACACTTTTTTGTTATTATTTGTTTTTAATTGTATATGAACCAGGCAAAAACGCGAACAGATCATGAACTTGAGTCAGTGTTTGCTGTAACTTCACTGCAATTATCCAATAAACACAGTTTGATCATTATTTAAATGATGACAAATTATTAATAATTAACTAAAAATCTATCATTAATTTTTATTAATCAGATTATCTGATTATTTTACCAAACATATATTAAGGTTAACACATAATGCCTTTTTAAGAAAGGTCAAACATGGATTCCATAATGCTTAAATAATGGTTTTAGAGAATGTTAGAAGAAAACAGAGAAAACAAAGAGAAATGATTTTTGATAAAGTAGCAATATGTAACTAAAGTACTATTTTGACTTCCATACAAAATAATAAATCACTTTAACTGTTCTAGTTGCCAGAGGGCAAGATATGAAAAAGATGGTTTAGTTAACTGACCAATGAGTAACTTTTAGAAAACTATTAAAGTTAACCAAAATTAAAAAGCTTTTGAAGAATACAAATGGAAGCATTTCTGAGACTGAATGGGCCTTAAAATAATACATTTTTCATATAATGGGGCAGACAAAAGAAAACAACTCACTTTCTGTGTGAAATAATGAATATATATGTACATGAATTTACTTCACTGAAAAATATGTCAAAATAACTCTTTCAAATATAGTCAAAAATAGTTTTTTTCAAATGATTTCAAAATAGTATTTTTTAAATGTAAATCGACTCAAATTATTACAGCAGTTTAGTCATATTAATATGTTTTTAATGTTTTTTTTATTATCATTTGATACTTCTTTCATTAAGAATTTACAAATGCCTTTATATCAAAATTAAGAATGAATATAACTTAAGTTTTACAAAATGAATAATTGCTGAAACATTAAGAACAGTTTATATAATGCATTTTGATGAGGAAAAATATAAATACATTTTATATAAAAACACAGCATGAAATTTATAATAATAATAATAATAATAATGATAATAAACATGTAAAGAAAAATAAAATAAAATACCTCACATAATAACAGTGTAAATGGCACTAAAATATGAAATATTATACAAATTGCCATACAAATGTGATATTGGAATATATGTCACTTCATATTAAGTTTTGAGACATGTTTTACACATTTTTCTTGATAAATGAAGGGTAATCATCATTGTTTTCACTCAGTGTGTATGGCTTAGTGTTCGTTAGTTTAGTTTTTCTTTTTATAGAAAAAGGTAAATGCATATTGGTTGTTTTCAGCAGCTTGAATGCACACTTTACAGGACAACATGATTGAACACCTTTCATATGATACCTTGGTGTAAGTTTTATGACAGTTTATAAATGTATAGAAAGTTGCTATTTTTCTTTAGGTAAAACTAGTTGATTCTTTGTTTTATCCAACAACACAATTTAGAGTTTCTTTTAGATTCTCCTAAACGATTTTCCGGTAGAAGTGCTCCTGTATCTCTTCTTAACTTTTCTCCGTACCAGTCACACCCAAAGACAGTACCATCATCAGACAGTGATATTCCTTTAGGCCTACTCATACGACTATAACTACCAATCACATCACCTTGCCAGTTTAATCTTGTTACTGTCTTCATGTCACAGTCAGATACATAGATATAACTTCTGTTACATGTGACATAATCTGGACATTTAAAAATATTTTTTCCATCAATTGCTGTCAGTATAGTGCCATTCATATCAAGGATCTGAACTTTTGCAGGATTTTCGAATGACACAACAAGTTTACCTTGAAAACAGCTTATACCAGAACATTCCCCATCAACCTTCACAGTGTGCCTCTTTTTGAGTTTGTTTGATGAAATTGATGTAAACTGTATTTTCTGTTTGTTAGGAAGTGTGACTGCAAGTTCAGTACTGGTTACTCTCGTGATATCCCATGGTCTATCATCTAATTGTATTTGATCAGACACAGATTTAATTCTAGTATCCACCATCTTTACAGCATTGTCAAAGTAGTCAGTGATAATAAGAAGATCAGGAGTCAGCAGAGTCATTCCTGTTATCCAGCATGTATTTTTATCTTTTGATGTCTGCACACAGATTTTTCCCTCATATGAAGATTGTCTAGACTTTATTTGTACAGGTTGACATTCTTTATGTAAGGGTTTGTGAGTCAATATACCAAGTGACTTCTCAGTTTTAAGCTTAGTTAATAATGTTTCATTTTCTTTAAAGTGGTGCTCTTTGACATCATATGATGAAAGCTGAGGTGCAGTTTTCTTAACATCTTCCATCATTTTTTCTGCACGCTTAAGCTCCATAAACAGTGTATTAGCTTGTTTTGATGTATTAAGCTGTTTAATTTTTTCTGAAGATATCTTCAAAGTATTGGTAACTTCTTCATTCGCTGTTTCTACTGCTGTGATATTTGAGTTATTTTCTTGTTCTGTGACCTTGACTACATGCACAACTTGTCTCTCCAGTTCATCAAGTCTCTGGTTTATTTCTTTCCGAAACTTTTTAATATCTTCTAGTGCACCTTTTAGTGATCTGTTTGATTTCGCTGTCATTTCCTTGACATCCTCTTCCATCTGTTGATATTGGTCAAAAGTTGTATTAAGTGCTTTCAAGACAACTTGATATTCTTTGCTGTCTATTATATTACCAGAAGTATCAGGTATATAATCAACTTTGCAGATAGTAGCTGGGTGTTCAAGGGTAACACAAACACTGCAAAGTAAATTTTTATGATCATTGCAGTAGAATTTAATGATTTCTTGTGGATGTTTACAACATGGTGTTGTAAGATCATCAGACTGACTTGTGTAGATGGATGTTGAGGGTTGCTGCAAAACTTTAGGCATAATTGTAGCATCTAGAACTGTATGATGTTTTGTAGATTTAAGTTTTTTATGGACTGTAAGGCATGTCTTGCAAAGGTGTTCCTTGCAATCAGTGCAGAAACCATGGGCAGGGAGTCGGGTTCCTTCCTCATCACAAGGCTGGCAGTACACTTGAAGATCTTCATCTGATGCCAAGGATGTTGTCGATGATAAAAACTGATTTGATCCTTTTTTTCCTTGGACTGCCATGGTTTACCTAAAATTAGCATAAACAAGTTAAGTATTTGTATATTTGTTTCTTTATACTTTTGCATGTCAAGTACAAAAACAAGAAACTGATATGTGCCATTCGTAGTTTTGCCCCGCGACCCCGCCAAGCGAAAAGTCCAGAATAAACAAGTTAAAAAGGCGGGGACGCGGAGCGAAAACATGCTTTTTAGCGGGGGCGCGAGCCGAACTTTAATAAATAATTGGGAAAGCGAAGCAAGATTAAAAAAATTTAACAGGGACGGGGGCGCAGGGTGAAAACAGGGTGTTTTCGCTGTGCGCTTCTTCCATTTTAACTTGATTATTCTCGACTTTTCGCTCGACGGGGTTGTGGATCGAAAACACGCTAATTAGTGGGGGCCGGGGCAAAGTTTTATTTATTAAACTTCTCCCCGGGCCCCGCTAATTTCCTTGTTTTCGACCTGCGACCGCGCCTTTTTATTTGTTAAATCTCGCTCTGTGCCCCTGTGGGTTGACGTTTTATTTATTAAATTTCGCGCCTCGGACTGGCTAATTAGCTTCTTTTCCCTCCGTGCCCCCGCCATAAACTTGGCGGGGTAGCGGGACGAAAACGTACTAATTAGCGGGAGCGTGGGGCGAAGTTTATCTATTTAACTTCACCTCGCGCACCCGCTAATTAGCTCCGAGCCCCCGCCATTTTAACTTGTAAATTCTCGACTTAGCGGTGTCGCGGAACGAAAACACGAATGGCACATGTCAGCCACCATAAGGAACAGTTTGGAAATGCAAACTTTTGCTAGCCTGTGATAATATTAATCGAATTGAGTTGAAATCATATCAGAATGGCTAATATCACATGGAAAACCTCCAGCTTTACAAGTCAAGAAAAAAATCAACGTCCATCGTTGCATTATTTCAGACATGAGTTGGCAAGACAAGAGTAGAACCACCACCCTTTTAAAAGCTAGCTGTATAGCTCATGACAAAAATAATATACTAAATGTACATGTTGTTTATTTGCGCTTTGAGATCCATGCTGTGTTTTAAATGATAAAAATTATACTGACTTATATGTAGCTTAAAAAAGGCATTTCAAGCACTGGATATCTTCATTACAAAATCTCTTTGATCGGAAAATAGGTGTATATTGTGTAGAAATGAGCATTATACACAGAGATGTTCAAAGCTAATAATTTTAATATCTGTAATGATAGTACAGTTTTTAACAGTCAGTGATGTTCAGATTAATAATACTATACGAGTATATCGTATATCCTCTAACAACCCGTGAATGTGACATTTTCCAATTAAAGGGATATTAATTGAAATACTATAAAAAAATTAGAATCTACAGTGTTTGCCTTGTTTTCCATTTCCTAATATATACTGCAATAACGAAGCAGTATTGAAATTTGTTTTGTGCTGTGTTGTGTCTACCTACCTACTCACCTACCATCACACTTTTTTGAGTATGTTTGTGCAAAAAAAAAATAAAGGAAGAAAGGTTCATTATACAAAAATGTATTTGTGAAAAAATCTCAAACTATGAGTTAATTAAAAGATAAGATATACAGTTAAAAAGTTAAAAACAGTTTGTAACTCATGGCACATTTTAGTTGCCCGGCCATTGCCTAAACTGATCCAGTCCAATGTGGGCTTGTACAACATTGGCCTGCAGAAAATTACAAAGCATGATGTGTGCTAGTTCATTATCAATCAATACGATCGTAAATGTTTTGTTTTTTTCATATTAAATATGTTGAAATTGTACTGTCAAAATTTGCTCACATTATTATAAAGAAGCAAAACTTGCGTTAAAAATAACAACAGCAAAGCATTGTATATCTAATTCATTATTTCAGCTTTAATTCATTATTTCAGCTTTTAAATATATTGTTTAAAAATACTGTACCTTACAAAATCCTTAAATTGTTTCACAGGTTAAAATATGTCCGCTTCAATGTTAAAAATTGTGTATAATATGGACTTTGATATCAATATCACTTCCCTGTTTCGCAACACTGATTACTCATAATAGCATTCCTTTAACATTTAACTTTCTGCTTGCAGATATTACCCATGAGAGACCAGTACTAGATCAATCGACGTACTATGCCATCAAATCATATTCTGCACTGTTCATTATTCAGTTAAAATTTATTTAAAAAATATCCCTAAAATCGATGAATGGTTATGTCCTGATTGAAAGATGGAAAAAGTCCATTTAAGATATTTAGTGGGGTAAGGGTTAAATACAGTTAGTTTCAGTTTTAAAGTTTAAGTGTTACGTGCATTGAACGCCGTCTTTCCTTGTTGATCTTTTTTTATCATATTTGAAAGACTTTTAAACCTTATTGATATAATTCATCTTTATCTGATTAAATAAACAGTAGCTATCAAACAGGAATTTTATCAACTTTAAAATGTACTTTCGTTTTCAAATAAATTGACTTTAAACTTTTCAAAAACATACATGTGTATGTTTGTTTGTATTTGAAATCGTAATTTCAAAGGTATTAATTCCTAGGTTGTGATTTATTTTAAATATTTGGTGATTAAACACAATATTAAAGGCTCGATACAAATTGTTTTCATCTTTAATAAGATATATATTTTAACATTTTAAATTATTTATAGTTTTAATGGTACGGAAAAACCACAAATAGATAATTTATCTAACATTTAGATAATTCAGACAGTGTAAACAAGGGTTCACGGACTTCATTTTATAAATTTAATATTACTTTAATCTCATCATTCTATTGGTGGTATTATACATCTATCGATTGTATTTGTTATGCGATATTTTGCGGGCGAATCATGTCCGAAATCAGCAAGTACAACTAACTTGATGCAACACCTGAAAAGTAAGCACTTATGTTGATGTGTTTAAAAAGCCTGGTTTAAGTTCATAAAAAGTCAGGTCTGTAAGTCATATTAATATGATAGTTTGTTTGAATAAAATTGTTTTCACATAAACCATTTTTATGTCCTACATTATAAAATGTCAAGTAGGTTGAGATAATGGATATACAACTCAAAAACATGATAATGGCCACTCACCTTGAAGACCAAAAAAAAACAAAACACAACAGCATTGCTTACTAAAGACAGCATAGCAATTAGAGAGTAATCGGATCGAATATAATCTAAACGCAATGAGTCGGATCCAATCAACCAGTCGGCGAATCGTTGCAGCTCTTTTCCCATGTAAAAAGAACTTTCCATTACTTACAAAGTTATAGCCAATTTTAGAAAGAAAACTGTGGAATTACAATATTTCGACCTGCATTATGAATGACGGTTAAATTGTACTTGTTATTCTTTGAAACATTGTCTTTAAGGTAGTAATACTCAAGTATAAAAACATTCCATTCAACAACAAACAAATTTATAGCCAATTATAGCAAAAACCAAGCAAATTTCAATAATTTGACCTTCAATGTCAAGGTCATTGGTGAGTGAAGGTCACGGTCAATTTTGTTTCCCTTAAGATCTTGTCTAACGGACAGATGTGTCCCAGTATGAAAGCAATTGAAAAGTAAGCAACAAAGTAATAGCCAATTATGTCAAAAAAGTAAAATTTACAACAAAGGTAAAGTCATTCATGAGTCAAGATCACTTTAATCTAGTCCTCGTTAAGGTCTTGTCCAAAGGGCTATTGTATTCAAGTATGAATAAAACATTAAGAAATAAGACAATAATGACCAACAAATGCAACAGACGACATGATTAGCAATAGGTTAAGATTTTTCTTCAAAAATGTTTTGTAAATAAAAAAAATCAACAGTATAGAGACAAATTAATATCTAAATGTAGTTTCCCGGCCAATGTCGAAGACAAATTTGAAATATACTGCTTTATATATGAAAATGTGAATTAATGTTTTATGATTTCAGTTTAACATAGCAATAACAGACAATAATGAAGTTCACACAGAAGCCAAAAAAGTTGTGTCAAATCAGACGTCAACACTTGCACAGAATGTCTGTGTGGAGATCTCACTTAGGACTGCCGATGGTGATACGATGGTGCTTGAACTTTGGTACATAAGTCTGGATATAAATCAGTGTGATATAAGTGCTAAAATGTCACAGACAGGTTATTCTAGGATGAGCATAGCATTAAAATCATTATTAAATGTTTCTAGAGTTACACCTGCTTACAAACTCTCTCGAAGGCAGACAAGCAGTGACTACATAATTTGCTATAGAATATATCTTGGCGAACCACAGTTTTATATTCTTGGTGAGAACCATCAAAAATCAAAAGTAGGGTCTGTGCCAACTCCATATGGGACCATAGGAATTCATTTAGGCTACAGAACAAAGTTGTTGATATCTCCACAGAACACTACAAAAGAGGTGCCATTTGAGGTGAAGGACGATCATTTTAAACAAGATAGTAGTCCTGTAAGACCAACAACACCAAAACCTTGTGTATCTGGTTACAGAAGGTAGCATAATTTTCACAAAACCTTTTGTTAATATTGAAAATATATTTTTCAAATCAAATTACATGTATAAAGTATAAACTAGAATTTAAAAATCAATACAATACAATATCTTCGCTTGAAATGTATTAAGCAATGGATCCAAAATATGAATAAATTAGCATAACAGTTCCCTATTAAAGAAAATGTAATTGAGTTGAAAATAAAAAAAAACTTAATTTTTTCAAGATATGCAAAATTGATACTTGAAGTCATATATCCGATGTTATCCTTCTTTATGGTTTTATCTTTCTTTATATATCTTTACTGCATTGATTTGATACTTGTTAATGTATTTTAGGCAAAGCACTTGTGATTCAGACTCTACAGGTCAGAGTGAGGAATCATGTACAACAACATTTTCTACTAGTCCCTGTGGTGAGCCTCTAAGAACTAAAGGAAGTCCCGCCTCTCATCATCAGTCGCAGCCAATAAAGATCAACATACAGGGCAGTTCTCCTGTGACTGACAAGTTCCCTGATTTAAGGCCACAGAGGTACATACTTTATAAGAATTAAAAACACACAGGGTTCTCATTGACACTTATTTTTTAGCTTGACTATTCGAAGAATATGAGAGCTATTGTAGTCGCCCCGGCGTTGGCGTCAGCGTCCGCGTCTGCGTTGGTTAAAGTTTTTTGTAAATTCAAATATCTCAATTATTACTTGAGATATTCAATTGAAACTTACAATACTTATTTATAGTAACAATGTACATCAGATTGACAAGTTGGATAACTCTGCCTACAATATTGACAGAATTATGCTCCTTTTTAACTTAGAAATTTTGGTTAAAGTTTTTTGTAAAGTCAAATATCTCAATTTTTGCTTGAGATATTCAATTGAAACTTTCAATACTTATTTATAATAACAATGTACATCAGATTGACAAGTTGGATAACTCTACCTACAATATTTTCAGAATTATGTCCCTTTTTAACTTAGAAATTTTGGTTAAAGATTTTTGTAAAGTCAAATATCTCAATTATTGCTTGATATTTTCAATTTAACCTTACAATACTTATTTATAGTAACAATGTATATCAGTTTGCAAAATCGCATAACTCTGCCTGCAATATTTGCAGAATTATTTGTTTTGAAACTTAGAAATTTTGGTTAAAGGTCTTCAAAGATATTTACTTGAAACTTTACACATGTACTTAGGGTCATAATTGGAAAGTCATAATTGTTGTATGTCACTGACCAAGTTCCATAACTCCACTCGCATTAAGGCTGATTCAACTGCCCTTTTCTACTTAGTCTCTTGGTTAATGTTTACATGCAAGTTTTACATATCTCAAATAACTATTAAAGATATTTATTTAAAACTTCGCATATGCATTTAGAATCATAATTGTAGGTCACTGACCAAGATCCATAATTATATCTTGCATTTAGGCTGATTTTTCTCCCCTTTTTCAACTTATAAATTCATGGTGAAGTTTTGCTTGTAAGCTGTTATGTCCATAACTACTGAAGAGTTTGTGCCTTTTTGGGACATTTTTATGCATTCATAATAATAAAGCAGTGATTTACTTGATAAAATATCTTAATAACAAGCCTAAAATTGTACCTTTTTCAGTCAATTTTACGTATTCATAGGTAATTAGCATTATTATACTCAATAAAATACCCTTGTGACAATTTTTGGATAGTCAGTATTGGCTTGACTATTCAAAAATTGTCACAAGGGTGAGTATAATAATGCTAATTACTGACTAAGAATTTACGTTCAAGTTGCATACCACCTCAGATATTTTCCTATTCCATTGACATATCGCTTTGAAACAAGTTGAAATTTTATGCACTTCTTTGAGAGCATACTAGGACTCTCCTGAAGACCTATAGCCATAACATGGATTTAAAGAAAAATTTGGCCCTTTTGTTAATTTAGAAAATGTTACATTATCAAGGCTCTTTTAATATCAAACACTTAGAATAGTCGAGCATTCTGTCCTACTGACAGCTTTTATTATTGATAAAAATTCATTATTATGATAAGAATTTATCAATTCTTTATGGATATAAACTAGCTTAAGCTGCATATTTCATAGCTGAGTAATGTTTTTCTTAGATTCACTAAATTTGATCAGATATCCTTAGAAATGGGAAGTTTCAATGATGATGCATATTTCTAAGACAATTTTCTTTACAAGCTACCAGGTAAATGATTTATGGCTATAAATTGCAAACACAATAATTTCCATGTTATGAGATTAAGACATTGGTATTGATATTCTTGATATCATATATTTATATCTAAAAATAACACTAAATAAGCTGTGATGTTGTGTTATTCATTTTACTAAGTGGTTAAAGGTTTTTCACTTCAAATAACTTGGCTCTCACCGAATACTGCTAGAGACTTTGGTTTCTTTCATGTGAGGAAGATTACCAGCTCTGTGGTTCTACTCTACTAGTGCCAGCATATGCTGAGGGGCACCTGAGGTCTTCCCTCCACTACTAAAGCTAGAAGGTTGTCATATGACCTCTACTGTGTCTGTGCCTGACTTAAGGTATTAGCACCCTAATGCATTACCTCCGCGTTGAAGAGTATTCAAATAGGCTAGAACTACTGTTTACTACATTGAAAATGAGGGCCATGGGTTCAATCCCCAGAAGGGTCAACTTTTTTTTTCTTTCTTTTTTTCTTTAACATTATTTATGTATCTCTCATGTCCCATTTAGAAAGAAAAAAGTGTTTAATTTTGATTTTTAATTTATATAGGTATTTATTAGCTAAATCATGCTAAATCTAGTAATAAATATGATACCTGATATTTCAAAGTGTAATATAATCAAAACTAGACGGTAAAAGTATTTCATATTTTACAAGATCAACCAATATACTTTTTTTTAAAAAATTTAGGGAAACTTTGAAAAACAGGCACTCATTTGGGTACATTTTAAGAATTTTTTTAATTAGGCTCCCTAAGTAGAAAATGGTCAGACACGTGGTAAAATGGGTGGGGTAGGGTAACATTTTTATACAGATTTCATAAATTTTACGTAGAAACCATAATTTTGCTTATGTGGATTGTTAGCTTAATGGTACTATTTGTTTCTTACCAAAATTAATTGGAAAACATTTTTCATTAGAAGTTATTGCAGATTATTTAAAGGTTCCTCATTTTAAAAAAGGGCCCTCATAACATCTTAGCTTGAGTTCAGAAAAGTGGCCATAACTTGATTTCCGTACGGTAAACTTTGTTTAAATTTTGCATACAGGTGTACTTTAAGGTATACATCTGACCTATGATGTCAATTTTTTAGTTCCTTATATTGCCCATTAGGGTCCTAATACCTTAAAGCCAACCCCCACTTCTGAGTTCTCCCATGTTATTTATTTAAAATCAGACCAAAGACTTTTTTATTAATAAGAACCATGCAAGGTTCAATTCACACTATTATATATGTGAATAAAGTGAAGTCCAAAATGAGTTAGTTAATCAAAAAAAAATATACATGTATAAAGTATTTACAATTTTATTGTAAACAAAACAAATTGTAGTGACCCATGAAAGGAGATGTCAAGGTCAAAATGTGAAAAGATTAGATATTGAGTGGATTGATTAAGCTAAGTTCATCAGACTGACATTTTATCAACACAATCAAATTATGTTACATTGTACATTGATGCAGTGTTGATTAATTTTCTACTTTCCTTTTACATTCCTGTAAATCATATTTCTTTAATTGTACACAAATGTATGTGCATCAATTACAGTGCTCCAGAAAAGCCTTTCACATACCAAGATTGTCATAGAGTTGGAGCATTTGTTCAACATTTTACAGACAATAAACACAACAGCGATGATGATGTGCCGTTCCTATCTCTCTTACAGCAGGTCAAACTTGATAGGTATGTTTACACTGACCACTTTAAAGATCTTAAAAAGAATTGTACCATTGAATGCTTGGAAAAAATTGCTTCTCTATGCCCGTGTGTATGTATGCTTTACTGAAATGAATCTATCTTACTAAACTTGAAAGTGTTGGCTATTTAGTTTAAGCATTTTGATATTAAAAATGCTTTAGCTGAGATAGATAATTCCTCTTTACAAAGTTTTATTGACTTGAGTAAGGGGGATGTTTCTTAATAATACATGTACTCAGAGCTTTACTTTTGTAGGAAGACATATGTTTATGTATTTTATTCCTCAAAGTATTGATTTAAACTGCTTTAAGGTGGTGTACAATTAAAACCACGAACTTTTACTGCTGAAGTTTCTTATATCTAGGAATCTGCATTGTTGCACTTAGTCATGTATTCAGTGGAAAATCCGAGGTCTAGTCGATATAGTTGCTTAATAAGGCTTGCTTGTTTAAATGCTTGACATAGGTTTGGATTTAAATCTTGAAAGAATTGTGATTTTTAATATTTTGTAATAATAAAGCTATCCAACTAGTGTATGGAAGGTTGGTGGTCATATTCTCGTATCAGCTAATGTACAAGATGAAAAAATAATACATAAAAACTTGAATTACAGACAAGACAAGGACAAGACAGATGGTACAAAGTTAGAGGCATCGAAAGTCACGTCCAGCTCGAAAACTGAAAGTTCACGGGAAACAAGTGAGTCTGCGCTAAGCGAGTCCAAAACAAGTACCAGTAGCCAGGTGTCAGCACCAGATGACTTTGTTATGGTGGAGTTGGTAAGTTTCTCAGACAATTTTACTTTCTGAAAATAAAAGTGAAACTCCTTCATAATGATTAGGGAGAGGAAACTTTCTTTGTCACACTTGATGACATATTACATGTGTAAATGTACAAAATATACAAAATGAAAGTGTGCTTCGTCAATTAATAATATCTTGCTTTTTTAGAAGATTTCTTTTCTGAAATGAGATCTGATGAATTGTTCATCACTCAACAGTCTTCTTTTTAAATAAAAATAAAGTCCATACATTCTTCGATATAAAAAGATGTTACAAAAAGATATTTCATTCTTACTTTAGAAAACACCATTTGCTGGAGCAGATGCCAATAGTGATTTAGGACGGTTTTATCGAGAATGTCAGAGTGCACCGGCATTGACAAACTGTGACGAGGAGCAGTCAGTACCGGAAGCTTTGGAGCAGTTAACTAACCAGCTAGAATCATTTGAGACTCATATGAAAGACTTTGATAACTTTGTGTCAGAACTGAATATTGACAATGAATCTATGGGTTTTGAAGCTAAAGCTGTTTTTGAAACGTGAAACTGTGAAAGATATGGGTTTACTGGTTTGTAATACAGGGTTGCTTTCTCTTACATTTCATTCTTGTAGGTCTTTTGTCATTTTCTGGAAGGGAAATGAGATGAATAAGTAAAATAACAGCAAAAAATACAGTATTGTTTTATAATAAAACACTTTGGGTATGTGCGTTTTTTTTAACTTGTATGATGAAATCTTCAGTGGTTATATTTATCGGTACATTTCAAAATTCCATACCACAAAATGCATTTATAAGAAATATTATAGTACCTGTACATGTACTTCGAAAATTACTTTGGTCCATTTCCACAGTAAGATTATTTATAATAAGTCAATAGAAAGTTTATGTAAGGAAAGACAACTCTGTAAGGTTGTGTTTAATTTAGTCAACATGGATGAATATGTGCTGCATTTGAAAGGGATTGAACACATTTTGGTGCTCTGCACTTCTGTATTAAAAGAATATTGATCCCATTTTTCTTCCTTTAGAGCTGTAATGTTGAAGTATTTTAATATAAAAGAAGGAACATGTGTTATATGTTATATGTAATCAAGTTTTTGACCCATAACTTACATTATTTTAACAATTGTATTTTTCATTCTGTTTTGTATAAAGAAAAAAGTTTTTTTCATATCCAGTATTTCTGTTCATTTTGTTTGATGTGATAAAGAAAAGTTTATCATGGGATCTTTATTATTTGGGTTTTGAATCCAAAAATGACTTTTTTGTAGTTGAAATGTTGTGTTTTACTCTTTCCTTATCGAAGCATAGTTTTAAAATACAATGTACATAAAATTGCAGTACGTTATTAATTTAATTTTGCAAACTTCATGTTATCAGATTTATTATTTCATGAACCAATATAATGCAAATCTGATAAAAACAAACACATTCTGTAGATATCCTCAGTTGATTATCCAGTCAGATTATAGATTATTATTATCGTACTTTCATGTGTTATGGATGTTTTATATTTCCTTAATAAAAAACAAGTCTCACCTCTGAAACATTTTAAGTAAAGTAAAACAGCAAATGTTTTATGATAAAGATCGCTGGCTCGATCTCTCCTATAAATGTTTTATACGAGTTAAGTTGATTTATGTGGATAAGTTCACGGTGTCTTGGCAGAATAAATGTATTCTGTTTTATGAAAGCTACCGTTAATAAGTGGATTTTTTTGTTTGTTTTTGTTTGAAGCTGTGATAAAAAGAGGAAGTACTACACCATCATGAAGAATTTACTTGACATGAAAAAATAGTAAGGTATAATTTAGATTTTGCTTGGTTATGTCTTCCGTATGAAAATATTGATCTGAAGAAAGCTCTTTAAATAGAAATGTGCATGTTATAATGTAATTATTTGCTTGCTAATATTTGTAAGATAAGTGCAGAATAAATTATGAATGTGCTGTACACATTTTGGTATAGAACTACATGTTCATGTAATTAATGAACTGCTAGATTTTCTCTGTGTGACCAGATTCTGTTTCTTCATTTACATTTTTTTGTTAAAGTAAAATATGTTTCATGTATGAAAATTTGGGATGTAGTTTCAAAGAATTTCAGTTAAAGAGGGGGCTATCAGATAGGGAATGTCAAGATTAGTGGTTTTGTTGAATACAATTTATGCTATAAAATGACCAATTTTAAAGTTCTGAAAGTTAAGGGTTGCCATGTGGCACTTTGGCTATTATAATTCATAGTAAAAAAATAAAAAAGATTGAATAATTGATTAAGAATAGCAAAAAATTTGTCTAAATTTCTCTTTGATATTATTAGAGAAACAGAATTTGCGCATTATAAAACTAACTGTTTTCGTACAAGTGATTTTTCATTTATCAGATTTTTTATGACACTATATAATGATTTATCATAATGCCACCAAATTTGTAAATAAATGTTTTTTTTATATAGAACCAGTCCTTGAGGTTGTAAAATTAATGCAAGCTTATGAATAGATAATATCAAACCAAGTCCACAAGTGTCAAATAATTTTGTTTCACTGAATTTGAGTGATCTCCCTTATCCCATATTTTCATACATAAGACTTGAAATGTAATAAATATCTTAGTTCGGAATTGACAAAGTTATTAATACTCCTTTAGTATTAGTTATTTGTGAAATTTAATTTAATATATATCTTATTCATTTTCATAATTATTACATTGTTTTGTAAACCTCTGATCATTATGTATTAGTTACAATCATATCTGAAAAGGTTATTGAAGTGATTCATTTTTTTCCATCACCTGAAATAATACTTAAGTAAATTAATGTTATTTTGTCATAAAGTTTTTGTATCAACCCGTTAATTTTACTATCATCATTTTTAAACTAAATTTTTTCTTAATCTATGTTAATTAAATGACTAAAGACTTAGTTAACATATTTTTTTGCTGTTCTTTACTTAATTCTGGTTGCTTTTAAAGTGATAGATTTATCAACCCTATTTTGATCAAACGGAAGCTTTTCCTTTATTTAATATTTTTTTTCATTGGTTTATCTAAAAATTATTCCATTTTAGAAACTTGATTTTCATAAATTCATGCTTTGTTTATCCAGAATTTGTCAACAAATTTCTTTAACAACCCATCACTTCATATACACTTTGTTTTATCTCTGTTACTTTGTTTTATCTCTATACTCTCTATAATGTTCAAAAGTCATTATGTAGAGTTTAAAAAATGTTGAAAGATAATCTTTGTAAAAGTAAGCCTTGCATATATCTTATTGTAAGCTACATTCATTTACTTTGCATGATACCTGTGAGATGTTGTATGTGATAAAATCTCATGTTTATTCTCTTAAATAAATTACATGAAACATGCATAATAGTCTATGTGTTATTCCTTTGTTTTAGATTTACAAAATGTCGAGTTACAAGTGACTTTGAAGTTTCTGACAATTGTGGCTGTTTAACAGTACAAAAAGTTCAGCACCCCTGCCGTTTTAACTTGTTATTCTCGACTTTTCGCTTAGCGGGGTCACGGGGCGAAAACACGAATGGCACAAATCAGCCACCATACATAAAGCTGAACATTTACATGTCACATAATTTTCTATAGTGAGTTGATCTTAACACAGTGAAGAACATTTGGCGACAAACCAGCTTTTGTTATAATTCTTTAATTTTGCTTGACTTTGCAATAATTGGCTTAAATAAGAATAAAAATGATAATAATACTCTTTATTTAACAAGAATAACTTATTAAGACAATACATCAAAGCATCAAAGAAAACATATATAATGCAAAATTTTATTTTTAACAATTGTAGACTTGAAAAATTTCTTATTTCTAAAGGAAAAGTATTCTAGAACTTCATACAAGCATAATAATAAGTATGTTTCAAATGATATGTTTTAGGTCGTTTATACATTGCGTCTTTTATTCTGTGATGATCTTAGTAAATACGTTTTATTCTGAAGTAACAGGATAAGATCTGACATATGCTGGTTTTAATTAATTCATTGCTTTAAACACCACAATCCCGAAAAATATATACATCTAGGTGGAAAAAATAAGCATTTCAGTTTTAACACATTTTAGGAGAATTGGTTTTAACAGTTATATTTTAAAAAATTCTGGCTGTTATTTTTTGTTTTTGTAATTTCAATATTCTATTTTGCCTGATTTGTTATATTCGGACCTACTCTTCCTTAGGAGAGTAATTCGGACCAAATAATAGATCCAAAATCAAGATCAAAAGTTATAAAAAATAACACATATGACAAAACCAACATGTTGAATTCCGTAAATATATCCTTGTCCTTCAAATGAAATTGATTATTAAGGACCATGTATGAAATTCATCAGAAATTGCCATAACTTAATTTACAGACTTGATTCATACTTTAACCAATAAATGACATTTATGATGACACTGACCTGTAATCATTGCATTTTGCTTAAGTTAATAGATTTAATAGGTTTACTTCATTTTTAGACAAAACAGTACTTATGACACAACTGACATTACGATTAACTTAAAAGTGTCCTTGACCTTTGAACCACCTTGATCATCAAGGTCAAATTATTAAATTTAGCTTTAATAGTCCTAACTTAATTATGAATAATGATGGAAAAATGTGAAACATACTTGGTCTAAACATTTTTTATAACAACATCAACATGAAGTAAATAACCTTTTGTTAAATATAGAATTCTTATTTTTTACCAGACATTATGTTTCCTTAAACAATTCTTCCTACAATATTCTATCTCCAATGTGTTAGACTTTCGAAATAAGAAAATGTTGAGTATATAGTCCCCATTTGGCAGTGACTTGTTTTTGACAACATTCAGAGAATATAAAGGCATCATATATAAGGACTTACAAATACGAGAATGAACTAGACAATTAAACAGGCCCTTTTGATCATTGTTGTTGTTGTTTTACCACTGAAAACAAATCTGATGTATCATTTCCTAGCAGACTATAAAAAAGGAGCAGAATTATAACCATTAATGGACAAAATCCACAAGAAAATGATAAAGGCTATGAAGCTAAATCTCTAATGAATTATTTAAATAAAATCTATAAACAGTTAGGTTGTTTCCATATTGTTGTGGTTGATTCTTGAAACAGTTGAAACAGAATATCTTTGCTATTTAAGAAACATGAATATTGCATTATTTTGTTAACAAATTAAAATGTTCTACAGCAAAATATTATGCTGCTATTTGTTGCAGAATTTTGAATGCAAATTTTAATTTGTGACGCTTTTTGTTATTATATGCTTTAAATTATATATGGACTAGGCGATCATGAACTTGAGTCAAACGTTTTTTCTGTAACTTAGCTAAAAATGTGCAATAAACGCAGTTTGATCATTTTTTAAATTATGACGGATTATTAAAAAAAACTAAAAATCTATCATTAATTATTATTAATCAGATCATGTGTTATTTTACGAAACATAATGCCTTTTAAGAAAGGTCAAACATGGATTTCATTATGCTAAAATAATGGTTTAAGAGAATGTTAGAAGAAAACAGAAAAAAAATTCTTTTTTTTATAAAAGTATCCATATGTTACTAAAGTACTAGTTTGACCATACAAAATACTAAATCGCTTTAACTTTTTCCCTTTTTGTCAGAGGGGCAAGAAAATAAAAAAGTGGTTTAGGTTTAAATTTGGGAGATTTAGTTTTAAACCCTTTAAAATTTCTATGAAAATAAAACCAAAATTTTAAAAAATTTTTGAAAAAATTTGGGGAAAAGAAAGGGATTTCCAGGGGAGAATTTGGCCTTTTAAAAAAACATTTTTTAGATAAAAAGGGGGAATTTTTGTTTTAAATCTTTGGGGAAGCAAAAAAGAAACAAAAAAAAGTTTTTTCTTTTGTGAAAGGCCCCTAAAAAAAATTTAAAATTTTTAAAAGAGGGCCGGGGTCATGGAAAAAAAACCAAAAAAAATGGGTTTTTTCACCAGCAAAGGGGCCCAAAACCAGCCTGCGCCTTTTGCGCAGTCTGGGTCAGGATCCATTTGCTGTTTTCGCTTACATACCCTATAAACAAGTAAAAGAAACTGATAGCGAACAAGCATGAATCCTGATCAGACTGCGCGGCGGCGCAGGCTGGTCTGGATCCATGCTGGTCGCAAACCCATTATGTTGGTTTTGTCGTGACACGGCTCATATGTACATGAATTTACTTCACTCAAAAATATGTCAAAATAACTCCTTTTCTGTCAAAATAGCTTTTTCAAATGTTGTCAAAATAGCTTTTTGTAAAATGTAAATCGACTCAAAATGTTACCGTAGTTTAGTCAGATTAATATATTTTTAATGTTTTTTAATTATCATTTGATACTTATTTCTTAAAGGATTTACAGTTGCCTTTTTCTCAAAAGAATGAATAAAACTTAAGTCTTACACAATTACTAAATGCTTAAACAAGAAGAACAGTTTATATAAAGCATTTTGATGAGGAAATATATAAATACATTTTTTTATATAAAAAAAAACAAAAAAAAACAAAGCATGAAATTTATAATAATAATAATAATCAACATGTACTTAATAAAGAAGAATGAAATAAAACATATTTACATATTTACAGTGTAAATGGCATTAAAATATGAAATATTATACAAATTGCCATAGAAATGAGAAATTGGAATATCTGTCACTTCATATTTAGTTTTGAGATAAGTGTTCTACACATTTTTCTTGATATAAGAATAATAATTATCAATGTTTTCACTCGGTGTCTATGGCTTAGCATTCACAAGACTAGTTTCTCTTTTTTGTAGTAAAGGTCAATGTATATTAGTTTTTTCAGCCGTGCAAACTTTACAGAACAATAAGATTTTTCACCTTTCATATGATACCTTGGTGTAAGTTTTATGACAGTTTATCAATGTATAGAAAGTTGGTATTTCTTTCATTCGAACTGTAACAACTGTAATACAGTTTCTTTGTTTCACCACACCAACAGACAGCATAAGGAGAATTCAGATTCTCCAACACATTCATTCCTGTAGAACAGTCTTCTGATATCTCTTTTATAACATTTCTCTCCCAATCACACACAAAGACAGTACCGTCATCTGACAGTGACATTCCCCTAGGCTTACTCATACTACTATAACTACCTATCACATCACCCTGCCAGTTTAATCTTATTACTGTGTTAATGCCACAGTCAGATACATAGATAGAACTTCTGTTACATGTGACATAATCTGGATGTTTGAAAATATTTTTTCCATCAATAGTTGTCAGTATAGCTCCCTTCATATTAAGGATCTGAAGTTTTGCTGGACTAAGGAATGACAAAACAAGTTTACCTTGATAACAGCTTATACCACGACAGTATCCATCAACCTTCACAGTGTGCTTCTTTTGGAGTGTGTTTGATGAAATTGATATAAACTGTATTGCCTGTTTGTTAGGAAGTGTGACAGCAAGTTCAGAACTGGTTAATCTTGTGATATCCCATGGTCCATCATCTAGTTGTAGTTGATCAGACACAGATTGACTGCTGATATCCACCATCTTTACAGCATTGTTATTTATGTCAGTGATGATAAGAAGATCAGGAGTCAGCAGAGTTATTCCTGTTATCCAGCAAGTTAAATTATCTTTTGATGTCTTCACACAGATTTCTCCCTCATATGAAGGTTGTCTAGACTTTATTTGTACAGGTTGACATTCTTTATTTAAAGTTTTCTTTGTCAATGTACCTAATGTCCTCTCCATTTTAAGCTTGGTTAGAATTGTTTCATTTGCTTCAAAGTTGTGCTCTTTGACATCATATGTTGAAAGTTGTGTAGCAGTTTTCTCAACAT